TGTATGCTAATAAAGGAGAGCCTGGGAGGGAGAGACTCCACTTTTCCTTTTGCTCTCTGGACTTCTTCTCTCTCGACTCTCATCCGAGGCAGCCTTGTGTCTGTCTTTTCTTTACCATGAGAGTCCGTGACAACTCAAGAATCAGCCCCCGGACGAGGTCTGAAACCAAGCCGGGAGACTCAGGTCTCGGTTTTCTACAGGAAGGGATTATCCCATAAAAAATGTGGAGTTCTTGTATCTCTGATCTCCTGGATAAAATTCCCATTGTCCACTCATAGAATCCCTTCATTAAATATGACCTTGTTCAGACTCTTCAGAGAAAATGAGAAATAAAGCTGCACCAGGAAGATACAATCATCTTCTGCAAAAAAACAAAAAAACAAAAAATCCACCAGTCTGCAGGAGGCACAACGGGTTGGTGGGTGTATGTTTCGGGCGGGGGGAGGGAGGTGTCCGGAAGATGAATGAGCAAGGAGGACATCGCTGTGGTTGTATTCCCACAATACGCATAACCTGTTTGCATGCTAAACTTGGCAGGGGATAGAGTAGAGTAGAGTAGAGTAGAGTAGAGTAGAGTAGAGTAGAGTAGAGTAGAGTAGAGTAAGTAGAGTAGAGTAGAGTAGAGTAGAGTGGGATGGGATGGGATGGGATGGGGGGATGGGATGGGATGGGATGGGATGGGATAAGATAGGATAGGATAGGGGAATGGGATGGGATGGGATAGGACAAGATAGGATAGGATAGGATAGGATAGGATAGGATAGGGGAATGGGATGGGATGGATGGGATGGGATAAGATAGGGGAATAGAATGGAATGGGATAGGATAGGATAGGGTAGGGTAGTGGAGTGGAATGGAATGGGATGGATGGGATGGGATAGGATAAGATAGGATGGGATAGGATAGGGGGATGGGATGGGATAGGATAGGATAGGATAGGATAATGGAATGGAATAGTATAGTATAGTATAGTATAGGATAGGATAGGATAGGATAGGATAGGATAGGATAGGATAGGATAAAATAGAATAACTTTATTGTCACTTTAAACAAACACTAATTAGCATCCATTAAAATGAGATTTCCTTGCATACAGCTCTCAAAGGGTCACCACCTCCAATATACACTGCACAAACATGACAAAATAAATAAATGACGCTTATGCCCACACACGCACACCTACGTGGCCCAGAGGAACCACACAGGCCGGGGCACAAGCGATAAAGGGGATCGCTGTGTGTCGCGGGCCGCATCTAGCCGGGACCCCGCTCCCCCTTTCCTGGGCGGGTGGGAAGACAGACAAAGAGCGGGCGCAGTTTCCTCTCTCCCTTCGCAGATCTGCATCCTTTGGACCGGGGGGGGGGTAGAGAACTTCGGCCCCGGAGGCTCCTCGCTCTGGAGCTCGAGGGGCGGGGCGGGAGCAAAAGGGGCGGGGCTTTCCTGAGCTGGACTTCTTGCGCTTTCTGGCTGGAGTTGACCTGGCGTCTTGGATTGCGGATGTCAAAGGCGCGCGCGTGGCTGGAGGGCGATGGGGCTGCCTCGGACGCCCCTCTTGCTCCTGGGAGCGGTGCTGGGGGTCTCCGTGCGGGGGGTCTTCTGCGGTGAGTTCCTGGAAGGATTTGCCACGGGGGGG